GGGGGGGGGGGCTACGGCCCCCCCTGCTGCACAGCAAGCACTAGCGCTTATAAAAAAAAAGTAGAAAAGAAAAACAGGAAATGGAATGATATTGCGTACATCGTTGCCAGTGAAAAAAGTCTTCATCATTGTGCCAGTTAAATATGCTGCAGGCCGACCGACCGACGAGGTCAAAACTATTTGTCAAAAATTCATCGCGCAAGAGGGTAATTTTGGAGCGCAGAGACGAACGAGGCGAGTAAAAGTTGGGGCGGGCGCGACCGAGGAAGCGAGTTGCATGGGCGTACATTGTCGATCGCGATAATTGCTGCTGCCGGCAGTTGGTGCAAAAAGTCCAAAAATTATGTGTGCAAAGGAAGGTGATAACGCGGAACGAACGTTAAACGAAAGACTAATGTTTGTAAGTATGCGGGGATGAATGACGAGGCAAATAAGCAAAGGCACGCAAACAGTCGTGTCAGATTGTCGTTGAAGTTTTTATTATTATTATTATTATTTCTTTGCCTTTTTTTTTTCTTCATCATCATTATTACTCTTTTACATAAATAGTTTTGTTTTTTTTTTTTTTTTTTTAATTCAATCAATGAATCGTTCATTTACTGTTTTCTTCGTTTCTCACTCTCGTGTCTTCGCGTTTGGCGATGGTGGTGTGTGTGTAGTTTGCTTATCTTCTGCTCGTCTTGTACATGCGTCGAATTTTGTCGGCCCACGAGCGATCGGTGCAGAGTAGTTGCTCGAGTTGTTTAACGGTCAGCCTCGACAAGGCGACGAGCCTGTTGCGAAGCTTCTTGGCCGAGTAATTGCGCAATAATGGGCTGCTGGCACCGAGGCCATTGAGGAGAAGCTCGTCCGGTTTCGGATCAATCTTGTAGTTTTGGCCGTCCTTGAGCCACAGAAAGATGGCCTGCGATTCTGCTCTGCGTCGCTCGCGGTCTCGCTCGAGTTGTAGATGGGCCTCGTCGGGCGCTCGCTGTTCGTCGCCTTCGTTGTTGTCCAGGACGAGGTCGGCGGGCATATCACCGGCAGCCGCCGCCGCTGCCGCCGGCAGCACGGGTCGATGAAGAAGGCGTCGGCGGGCGCGCGTCGAAAGTTGGCAAGTATGTGTCAGTGAGGATCTTCGTCAATTGGTGGTGCACCGGCGGCTGCGAGCTCGGCCAGCCAGTCTATCACGTGATCGTCGGGCCGGGCGTTTGGTGGAATCGGCGGTGCCTGCAGCTCCAGCAGTCGCACGAGATTCATCCGTCTCGTTACCTCGCCACCGTATCTGCCCTGGACGTTCTGGTCGAGTATTTCGCGGGCCGAGGCAAACACCTTTGCCCAGTAGGCGTTTTCGAGGTAGCGTGTCTTTTGTAGGAGATGAATTGGGAATGCCTCGACGGTGCGATTCAGCAGTTGTCGGAGCTCGTTTTTGTCCGGCTGGCCGGCTGCCTGCAGAAACAGCGAGCCGAGTATGCTCTGGGGGTCGAGCATCGCCCGCAGCACCTCGTGAGTGAGCACGAGCCAGGGATGACGGCCGAAAGGCTTGTGCTCCGGCAAATTGACGCGATCGAAGACAATCTCTGCACGCAGCGGCGTAAAACGCGCTCTCTGGCAGAGCTGCGCCCTGTGCACGTTCTGCGCGTAGAGGTGGAGCAGCAGTTGGGCGGAAGTGAGCTGGCTTATGTCGCGCCGGGAGAGCAGCACGTGCGCCAGGTCCTCCACGTAGCGCTTCATTGCGTGATGGGGCAGTTGCGCGCCGCGCAAAGTGTCGGCTTCATTGCGTAGATGTCGCAGTGTGGCGCGCTGTGGCACGAGATCGATGGAGCCGGTCACTGGATCGGTGCTGGCAATCACGCTTGCTCGGCCGAGCATGGGCTTGAGGGTGTCGTCGTCAAAGTGCCTGCTCGAGCCGGAGCACCAGTAATCGAGGGCGATCTCGTAGTAGAAGGCTCTGCATAGCTGTACGTCGGTCATTGTCCGGCAGCCGGCTCGATTGCCGTCGTAGAGCTGCTCGTAAAAGTTCAGAAGGGGCTCGGCCCTACGAACGATCTGCGACTGCCAATCTTATGACTCGACGATGGCTCCCAGCTCAAAGTGTCGCTCGACGACAAGCTTGATGGCGGCCCTGACGAGGCGACGATCGAATCGGCGAACGTCGTTGGCCGTGTTGCGCGCGCAATGGCAATTGCGGCGGTTAAGTCGTCGCCGCCGTTGTCGTTGATTATTATCATCATGGTTGACGTTGTTGTTGTCGTCGTTGTTCCCATTGTCGTCCATGTCGTCCATGTAATCGTCGTTGTTGTTGTTGCCGTTAGTTGCGGCGGCGGCAGCAGCAGCAGCAGCAGCAGCCCTGGCCCGGCGGTAAAGGAGCTTCTCGTCGAGCACGATCTCGACCCGAAGATCCAGCGATTGTCGGATCGCGTCGAAGAATCGGCGATACTGCGCGAGCTTTACGTTGCCGTCCTTGGTGAGAGGCTCGCAGTATTACCTCATTGACGTCTCCTCCACGCGGCCGCCGACAAGAGCGCGCAAATACAGGACCCGTTTGCCTTTGCGAGTGCCAATAAATCTGTGCGCGGCGTGTGCGTACGTGTGCGCGTATTGGAGATACGGGAAACGTCGCTGTTACGTGGGAGTAATAGCTGTACTTGCCGTTAAAGTACGGTTTTAGACGTACGAGGAGTCGTTGGTCGTCGGTATCTCGTAAACTTGGCGATAACGTGCTAAGTCGACGAGGAGCAGCTTCCGATCGGCCGGCGACGTCAGTGAGGCGCCTACGTAAAGCTGTCGCACGATTATGCAGGGATCGAGAGTGCGAACGTGGCGCTCGATCTCCTTGCGAGCGTCGCTGAGCTCCATAAGGAGACCGTGGGCGCACACGTAATAGAACATGCGCACGTTGTTGTCGCGAAAGATGGCTATCTGGGAGATGCGTCTCTCCCAGTTTCGGGAAAAGGCGGGCCAGTCGCGCTTAAAGACGCGCAAGTAGGACTGGGTGCCGATCTCGGCCGAGTCACCGCCCGCGCGGCGCGTCTTGGTTTCGGTATCGAGATCTCGCACAGCCAGGATCGCCGCCTCGAGGACGAGGCCGCGAAGTCTAAGCGGCGGCTCGTTAGGGCGTCTCAGCGGAAACAGATGGGCCGGTAGACGGCAGCAGGCCACGAGCTTGGTCGTCTCGCTGGCCAGAACAAACTCGAACCAGCTGCTTGAGTTGTGGTAGCGCGCGTCGAGATACTGGCGCATGGCAGTGTCGCCGGCGTATCTGGTGTTGTAACGTCGCTCGGGCGGCTGCTGAGGGAAAGCCGGCCATACACACACACACACACACACATCGGCCTCCTTGGCTCAGTGGGTATAGTTCTTGCCTGCTGATACAAGGTACGCCGTAGGGCGTGGGTTCGATCCCCACCGGACGAATTTTCGAGGTTCGTTTTTTCGCCTGGTGTGGTCGAGCCTGTGCCGGAGGTGGAGCGGGTACCA